AGATGAATAGTTGTCTACTCATTCAACTACTTATAGAATAATTATTGGAGACAAAAGACAACTCACAAATAGCACAAACATACAAACAATCAATGCAGACGAGAGTGCATGTTAACTCGCCTAACATTTAAACACGAATCATCTCGTTAGCATTTATTAGCATCGCCTCGCCTCTTCTTGTCTTGTCTGACCTCGAAGCCCCCCCCCACCAAACCTCGTTATGAATAACCCTCACCTTTCCACAACCTCCATTCCATAAATTAATTATCATATTTCATTGAAATATTCATTCTACTCGTCTGGTTTATTTCACTCGTCCAATAAACAAACAAATCGACCAACTCGCTCAGACCCACACACAAACAAACACAAAAGGACAGAATTCATACACAATGTCGAATTTTTTTCATCACACAGCTTATGTCATCATTATAATTATCAAAACGCATTTGAATAAATCATTCTGCACTCCAATCAATACTCTTGTTAGTTAGATTAGCTGAACACTTTTCAGAGGTAAATACAGCGGAGGAGTAGTAGCGGAGGTTGTTGTTGTTGTGTGGTGGTGGTGGCGTTTTGAATGATGCTCACAATGATAGTAACTTGATGTTTTGTTGTGTTGTCGTGGTCTTTTTTTTCGTGTTGCTGTGTGACTAATTCATAAACAGCTAGAAACACTCATAGCACAATTTTCAAAGATAAGATTAATAGAAGATGAGTTAGAGAAAACAAGACAATAGAGATGACATAAGTGGTACCATGCGTAGGTGGAGTGTATCACATTCGAATGATGAATCATACTCACTGCAATTCTGATGGTGATTAATGTAATTAATCACTAAGTTGAATTGTTTTTCCAAAAATGTGCTAATCGAATTGATAATTTATCACGAATTCAAATTAGAATTATAGAGAAAGAGAGAGACATAAAGAGTTTGGAAGTAATTTTGTAACTGGTTATTTGATATTTTCATAAAGTTACAATTTTGATAATTCACTCATTCGTCAAGTATGCGTTGGTGGTTCATTGGTCGGTGGGGGGGGGGTCGATTCCCGGCCGGTGGATGCACTCGTAAACAATATTGCTTAGTCGCTGGCAGTACTGTTGTAACGACAGAAGACAAGAGCCAGGCAGCGGATCGTTTATTGAGAAAATCAACAGATATTTATAGATTTTTATGTACATTATTGTCAGCGGAGAAGCAACGTTTCTGAGTGGTTGTTTTCCTTGCTGAAGGTTATTCTGTATTGCTTGTGACCGTTTCTTAGAAAGTTAAGCCATATATCTGTGAATCGTATTTGCACAGCTTAATTCTGCTGTGATTGGTTGTTGAGTTCCTCAAGGTTAAACTTTGTTATTGTTTTTTCTCATGACGCCGACTTGAGATGTAGACATTGACGTCAATTGTTGTCCACAATTTTGAGGCCTCCAAAGCCTCAGGATGGTCGGGGGTGGGTGCCTTCCGCTGCGGGTTGGCCACCCCTCCGCACACCTCTTGAAATGCTCCCATATGACCGGGCGTCTTACATAGCCTCTCCTGAGGAAGTCCTACTCACTGCCTTCACGTGGCGGAGGTGTTTTTCACCAAAGTGAGAGGGCGAAAGCGGATGCCCGGCGCTCTTCACCGGGTTGACTGTCCATTGGATGACAGTCTAGGGGAGATGGCTAAACCCTGATTCCAAACCTCCAACGACTGGCGTATGAAGCTCACTGGAGCTCACCGGAAGACGTATGGATAAAGGGCTTGTTGGATGTCCTGGATGTCTGGCCCCATTCAAAAAGGCGTATGAACCGAACTCCGGTCACCGGCTGCCAATGGATAGTGGACGCCCTACTCCACTCCTACTGCCTTGTAGGTCACACTTGGTTGTGTAAAGGCTAGAGCTGCACTCTCAAACAAAAGGCCGAGCGATTCTGGGGACATCACTCGTACCAAACTCCCATGAAACTTCATGAACTCTCTTCATCAGATCGCCGCGCCTGGGCAGCGATGATTCGAGATGTTCATGAAGCCGGCTCATCCTCCCGTAGGAGATAGCCGAAGTAAAGTAAAAGTAAAGTAAGACAGTTCTCACCACAGTACAACTAAGTAGAGAAGGATGGTTGGGCGTGACTATTAGCGACCTCATTCTGTAAAAATGAACTTCACCACTATGGAGACTTCATAGCTCAAGCTTGAATCCCGATGTGGTAGACTCGGAGGGCAAAAAACGGGATGGAATTTTGAGTCTCTACTCCTTCCACTGACAACTATTTGAGATGTCAAGAAAGAAATATAACTCGTAATCGGTTATTCACGGTTCGATGGGAAAAATTTTCTCATTTCTATTGGCTTTTACGTAGTTTTTCTTTTCCCTCACTATATGTTAGCCTTTATTTGTTACAACTTGGGTGGAAGCATTTCATAATTCGGTGTATAGTGTTCTGAACTGTGTTGTTAAGCATCATTACCTATTAAAAGACTTTGTATTATTATTGTTTCCTTTAATTCCCAGAGGAACATAGGGCTTCAGACGCACGTCTCCATTGCGTTCGGTTCTCTGACAAAGTTTTCATCACCTGGCTCCACGTCTGCCCACATGCTTTCATCTCCTCTTTTCTGCATGACCTCCTCCTCCATATCACCCTGGCTCCCCACTCGATGAATGGTCTGGCGTGTGATGTCACTCACTAGACGGTTTGTTTTCTCAGAGTATGACCAATCCACTACCATTTCTTCCTGCATATTTGTTGCACAATTGGTTCCTGCTGGGTTGGCTTGGTTCGTCCATTGCCAAAGATCCCACAATATTGCTGATGTTTTATGGCCGGCCATCCGATCTTGAGCGATGTATTGAGCGAAGACAACTGTTAGTGGAGGTCTGTAGCTTGTTTGAAGTAGCCTTCGTGATGCGGCGTCAAGTCTCTGATCCATATAGTGAGTAGCACTGACTTCACATTGGAGTTGAGAATCCGGATCTTATTTTCATTTTCATGCTGAGTGCTGAGTGTTGATCTCCACACAGACTTCAGAGTGCTGAAAGATTACCTTGCTTTCCCGATCCTCGCTGCTTTGATGTCCTCATCAGTTCGGTCGGCATGTAGTTGAAACGATGCTTCCCAGGTAGGTAGGTGGGTAGGTAAATGAGGTTGTTTCTTTCAGATTTCTCACATTTATGCTGGCTGATTGTTGTCTGTTGTTGTTGCTGTTGGCCAGGAATCTTCATCATCGCCTCTGTTTTCTCTATGTTCACCTGAAGTCCCATCTTTCTTTGATGCTTCTTCTGACAACTTGTTGCTTTTCATCATTTGCATATCTTTGAGTTTGTGAGAAATCAGACATATATCACATCGGCGAAGTTCAGATCCTCCAAGGTTTTTGTTTGGGTCCATTTTATGCCTGTCTCCTCGTCGGGCCCACTGTGTGTCTGTCGCATTATCCGGTCTACCACAATCAGGAAATTAATTATCGAAGATAGTAGGCAACCAGCCTTGTCTTACTCCCGTTTTCACTTCGAAGGATTCCGTGAGTTTCCTGTTGTGGATTACATGGCATGCGCAGCATTGTCGTGCAACTGTTGGATTAGGTGTATAATTGTTGGCGGCATGCAATGGTACTGAAGTAGTTATCAAATCACCTCTCGGTCGACACTGTGCTATCGAAGGCCTTTTCAAAGTCAATAAAGTTGAGTGAGATAGAGAGGTGATTGACTGCCATTCCAAGCTCTGTTCAGTGATGATCCGTAGTGTTGCGATTTGATCGATGCATGACTTGTTTCCCCTGAATCCAGCCTGTTTCAGTTTTTCACCCAGGGCGGCGTGTTTGATTCTCTCCAGGATGATGCGGCTTAGTATAATAATAATAAAATACTGTGTTACTTCTGTTATGATTAATAAACCTTTTCAAAATGAATAAGACTCGCATAAGTGGAAGGTCATAAGAACAACAGACAAGATGCTGTACACAAGTCAGCCGTCTATCATTACTGATCGTGAATCTTACTGACGTCTGTACATCATGGTACTTTGAATTGGAAATATGTGGACGATCATTACTTTTTGGCTGGCCACACCATGGAATTCGATTTCTTCTTGCCATACCTGAAACAGAAGCACAATTAATGTTATGTGACCAAAGTGCCCAGGTAGCAACTTCTTGAAACCGGTCACATACAACCTGTTTGAAATGGTCTTTGGAATTGCATCCATAATAAGTAAGATCTTACTGCAGGCTACAGATCGCCAAAAGATAGGTCGGAGTCGACTGTTTCTAACCTTCCTTCTCAAGAACGGAGAGGCAGCATAGCTATCTGGCTTGCTGTTATGTCTTTATTCACCATTAATACGACTCCTCCCACAAACTCCCCCCCCCCGAATATAATGCAAACCGCTGACTCTATTATGGTAACTGCTTTTAGTCCGACCACTCGCCATCCAAACAACCTTTCTGTCATGGTAAGACCTGTAAGAACATTTGTCCCAGCTAGTGTATCTCGTTGGGTCACTAAGACATGTAAGCGCTACCACCACGTAAATGTAGCAGCTATCAGTTGGGGCATCAGGGTACTTTTTTGGATAAAATAGAGTGGCAATCTGCTGTGTTAGGAAATGATCAACTGAAAGTTTACTTTTACCCTAGTTCAGAACCGTCTAAGCACATACTAGTGGTGTGATCTACCTTCAGTTTTACCAAAATGCACGCTCCTTTACAGGTTCAATTTGGTGCAAATAAAAGTTTAAGACAATGCAAGAAGATTTATGGAGTGAAACATTAGAAATAATCACCAGGATTCCAACTGCTGTACTTGTTTTAAGGCAATTTCAGTGTCAGCTGTTCAGTTATAATATGATAGAATTTCACACCTCACAGAATTTTTATTTAGGTGGTATAAGTCTGTCTTGGTAACTTGTTTGACTGACAATTGAAAAATTTACCAAATGATGGCATGTTTCTTACTCTTCCTTAATAACTGTACTCTCATCAGCACCGAAATTTCATTTTCTTTACATCCCATTAAAGGATACAACACATCAAAATGGTTCGTTAACACCTGGTGCAAAATTACGAGCAAGTAGTAAAAGTATGCTGAATGTTGACAATCCTACAGAAGATAAACACAGTCGTGGTTTTGTCCGTAGATGGTCATCAGGATCACGAAAAAAACGGCGAAAATCAAGTAAACATCGATCTGGCAACATTGATGGCGGTGGTGATGGTGAGGACGATGATGCCTGTGATGGAGTAGAACAAATCCCTGATACAACATTCACACGAACCTTGTCTAATCCAGATGAAGTTCTGCGTCGAAGACGGCAACAACGTGTACATAATCGAAATCAAGTGATGGAAATAGGCGATGGGAGTAAAAAAGGTAAATTTTGCTCGTATCTTTCTTTGTTTTGTTTTGTTTTTTTCTTATTGATGACGATGAGATGAAGTTTTGTCTGGCAAACGTTTAGATGCCATCCTAGATATAATTGTCAGTGCTTTATCTGGTGATAATTTATTTCAGTGTCTGTGTTCAAAAACGGTGTTTGGGTTTATAGGGATCTCAGCTAATTGCATTGTAGATGTCATCATAAATCATTGTTACTTACAGAGAGAATTACTCAAACGCATGAATCGCTGAGCAGTTGTCTCGTCTCAATCTGGGACTCTTCAGCACTTCACACTTACAAGTCCAACTAGGAGTTGAACTCAGGACCTTCAGATTATGAGGTGAGCCCATGAATTTTAACTTCGTAATGCAGCGTTACAACACTATCTAGTGTGTTATCAGTGTCCAGAAAGAATCAGCAACAAGAAACTGTGGGAACAAACCAACAGGCGAGAGCCGATCACTCAACAAATATGTAGAAGAAAGTGGAGATGGATTGATCAGGCATACATTCAGGAGGCTGGCGAATGAAATCGCACGCCAGGTCCTCGGATAGAATTCGAATGGTAAGTGACGAGTGGGTTGTGGTGTCGAGGGTGACATGGAGGAGATCGTGTGAGGAAGAGATAAGAGACTTTGGTCAACCGTGGACCCAACTGAAGAGGACGGCATAAAATAGGACATAAAGTGGAGATTTACTGTTGAAGCCCTATGTTCCACTCGGAACGCAGCGGAATAATAAAAATAATCCTTGACGAGCGTGCATCTCACCACCCAACATTTGAGGAGGCTACTAGCCATGATCTCTCAGTAGAAATATGATATGAACACTGATGAAATCACGTCAACAAAAACGTAGTCAGTTTTGCACTTCAATACTCCATGATTATTCCATGAATTGATGCCGCAGATTTTGTTTATCATTTTAAACTTAGTCAGGTGACATGAAATTCTGCGCACTACTCACACCAGTAGTTAATGACTTTAAGAAAAACTTCCATACGAAGTGACATCAGTTAAGGAATAATTGAAAACCTGGAAACACTCTACAGCGGTTTTGGAGCTTTCACAAGACTTTGATCCCAAAACCTTGAGATTATGAGGTGATAACATTTAATGCCTTTGAATTCATGATATAAAACACCAAGGCCATCCAATATCATCAGCAAGTGTTTTGTTTTGCACATTGAACTCATTATATCATTAAATTCCAAATGAATGGTTAAATGACACAGTACTTTCGCAGAGAAATTTAATTTTCCCGTTTCTATCGTCTTTGCGGTCATGGTTCTGCAGTATGGAAGAGTCCTCTTTTGAGACGAAACATCCCTGTTGTTTTTACTGACAGTCTACTTTGAAATAAATCAAATCCCACAACAGTTAAAGAAAATCGACTTGATTAAAATAGTATGAAGTGTTATTCTGGTGTCCGTTCGTGAGTCGGTTGTTTTCAATGGTAGAATGCTTACCAGGCACACAGAAGGTCGGGGTTTGATTCCCAGCTGATGCACTCTCAAACCTCGCCTAGTTTACCAGCGGTTAGTAAGCCTAAAACAGACAGCACGTTGACTGGGAAGCTGGAGATTCTACCCTGTAAAAATCTCAAGCCTTCCACAGACAGAATGACATCTTAAATTGGACAATGGATATTTATTTTCAAGAATTGGTTTTTAAGGATCAAATTTGTTTTAAAGAGTTTGACCACGGATTGATATCAGACAGAGAATCATTGAAAACCAGCACTGGAGTACTGGACAGCCAGCTGTTTCATCCCTCTAGTTTTGGGAATCATCGGCAGTAGGCACCCACTGTGCACTGGGGTTCGAACCCAGGACCTTCCGGTTAAAGGCAAGCTCGTATACCATTACTCAACCACTGGCAGCACCCGATTCAATGCCCAGCCCATGAATTCTAACTTCTACCAATTCGTGATTTAGCGTGACTGGCACCAACCAATGTCGTCGGTGGGACATCCATCCTCACACTTGACTGTTTGAACCTTACTGATCACGGCTTCTCACTGGAACTCCAGGAAACTCTGTCCTGTAGCAAGTCACTAGCGAGCATCACATTAATTTTCTATAGTTTGGTTTGTAAGGATTAGATCTGGTTTCAAAAGTATTAAAAAGTTGGGTTAGTAACACTCTACTAGACCTACTGAAATCTTTTAGTGTCCTTTGCCTAGTAACAAATTCTTTCTTAAGTAGCCCAGGAAAGATTAAACGGTGAGAGCAGTAGGGAAGAATAGGTAGAATACAAGAATCAACAAACTGTATTAGTAGGGATTGATTGATACCAGATTGTGTTAGCTTCCTTATGTTGAATGTTCAACGAAATATCTTTCTAAAAACTTACAAGATTGCGGGAAAGACCAGGAAATGTGGTCAGTGCAAATACACCATCACCAAGGTATTTAACATTCGATTTAGTTTCCATTTCTGTGGCATCTATGCTATTGGAACCATGCGAACTAACCAGGTCATGTAACTTCATGCATTTATTCCCCTTGATGAATTTGAATAAGCAAGAACAACAGTGGCGGTTTGTGCAGAATAAGAAGATGGTACCATCATTGTTTATTTCGTTGGCTTCTCATCAGCTCTGCTGCTTACAGCCTAAATAAATTATGAGGTTTATGCACAGAAAAGTTTTAACATACTTGCAAATTTTTTGCATGATGTCAGTTGACAGAAGGTTCCACAATTAGTGAACAGTGCTCAGAGAATTGCGCTTATATAGTTTTTACACAGGCAGTTCAAGTTTAAACAAAATTAATGTAATGTAAGCATACAATGGTAAAGGAGTTACGTAATAAAGACGAGAGATGCGTAAGATGCAGAGTGACTAATAAATTAGGTAACAATGTACTGAGTTCAACTCAAATCATAGAAACAAGAGACAAGCAAAATTACAAATTATAAAAGACAAAGATTACGTAATCAAATGAAAGAATAAAGATACCTAGTTACCAGGGCAAGAAAAGACTAATAACCGCTTCTCTCTGAACACATAAATCTGGTTTCAAGCGTTTGATAGAAATTGCTTCGACAAACTTGAGGAGAATAGAGCTCCTTTGTCTATTGATAATTTTAAAGGATTTCGCGATTTCCATCTACCTCATGACCCGTATCGAGGAAATGTCTGGTAATAGCGCTATTATAAGAGTTGGTTCCCTTGAGACGTAGGCTTTTCGGCACATGTTCAGAAAATTGGAGGTGTGCCCTTCTTTCTGTTCTCTCAATGTAAGTGCTCCCGCAGATACATGTAAATTTGTATACACATGAGAGGGTATCTATCGACTTTCGACTGCACCAAAGAGGATGTTGTTTGATGGATGGGAACCAACTTAGCTGCAGGATAGGCTCTGGCTAGTGACGTTCTCAGTCTTCTGTAATTTTGCTTGTTTCTTGTTTCTATGATTTGAGTTGAACTCAGTACATTGTTACCTAATTTATTAGTCACTCTGCATCTTACACATCTCTCGTCTTTATTACGTAACTCCTTCGCCATTGTATGCTTACATTAATTTTGTTTAAACTTGAACTGCCTGTGTAAGAACTATATAAACGCAATTTTCTGAGCACTTTTCACTAATTGTGGAACCTTCTGTCAACTGACATCATGCAAAAAATTTGCAAGTATGTTAAAACTTTTCTGTGCATAAACCTCATAATTTATTTAGGCTGTAAGCAGCTGAGCTGATGAGAAGCCAACGAAATAAACAATGATGGTGCCATCTTCTTATTCTGCACAAACCGCCACTGTTGTTCTTGCTTCTTCAAATTCATCAAGGGGAATAAATGCATGAAGCATAGAAATAGTTAGATCGTTGACATACTTAACAGAATGGGGCAAGTCATGTTCAAAGAAAGAAAATAGAAAAGTTGAAGGAACAGAACGTCGAGAAGCACCAGCGAGAGTAAGTACATTAGTAGAGGACTTCCTATTATGTAGAGTGTACTGCTTCTTGCTTGCTGCAGACTGTTGGATATAATTTATATATAATATATATATATATCTGCCCTCTTCATTTGCTGTTTGTCTCATATATTTATAGGCAGTTTGGTAAAGATCTATGGGAATGCCTTGAATCCAACTATACCGTATATCCTACTACCATTATCTGTTCATGATACATCAGAACAAATTGTACAATGGACATTAGAAAAATACAATCTTATTAATCATGTCGATTCAAGAGATTATTGTTTAGTTATGGTGAATTTACCTGCACGTAGCAATGGAAACAGCAGTGGAGCTGCTAATGGTACTGAACGTCTACCGTAAGTGATTTGTAGTCATGTCTCTTTTTGATTGTTTATATAGTCATATTATTTATCATTTTATTGATTTGCTTTTCGAGTGGAACACACCCAGCTTTAGGCTTGGGCTTTGAAATTTCACTGGTAGTGGTGTCTTATTTGTCTAACGGGATGGAATTGCTAGCCCTTCGCTTAACTTTCCCTTTTTACTGCGTCTTACTATCGTCTAAATGAGGTTAAGGAGTGCATCGGTCGAGGGATTGAACCCAGGATCGAATGCGTGATCCATGAGTATTCTACCATTGGACCACGGACGCACTCTTTCATATATTATTATTGTTTCCTTTAATTCCTAGAGGAACATAGGGCTTCAGCCGCACATCTCCATTGCGTTCGGTTCTCTGCCAACGTTTTCATCACGTGGCTCCATGTCTGCCCACATGCTTTCATCTCCTCTTCTCTGCATGACTTCCTCCATGTCACGCTCACACTAACGATCAACTTACCGCTTTTCATACCATCGGCATTCCACTCAAGCGATGGCTTGGCGTGTGATATCACTCACTTGATGGTTTTTTTTCTCAGAGTATGGCTAACCCACCCACATCTCCACCTGCATATTTGTTGCATAATTGGTTCCCACTGGGTTGGTTCGTCATTCCCAGAGATCCCTTTTGCTGATGTCTTTTGGCCGGCCATCTGATCTTGAGCGAAGTAGTAAGCGAAGACAGGTGTTGATGAAGGTGTGTAGTTTGTTCGAAGTGGCCTACGTGACGCGACGCGGAGCAGCGCCAAGTCTCTCATCCGTATAGTTAGTAGTAACACTGACTTCACATTGGAGTTGAAAATCCGGATCTCATTTTTCATGCTGAGTACTGAGTGTGGATCTCCACACAGACTTGAGAGTAATGAAAGCTTACCTTGCTTTCCCAATCCTTTCTTTGATATTCTCATCAGTTCCGTCCACCTGTAGTTCAGACGATGCTTCTTAGGTAGTTAAAGGAGGTTGCTTCTTTCAGATTTCTCCCATTTATGCTGGCTGATTGTTGTCTGTTGTTGTTGTCGCTGTTGCTGTTGGCCGGGAATCTTCATCACCTCTGTTTTCTCTATGTTCACCTGAAGGAAGTCCTATCTTTGATGCTTCTTCTGACAACTTGTTGCTTTTCATCACTTGCATATCTTCCAGTTTGTGTGAAATCAGACATATGTCATATCGACGAAATCCAGATCCTCCAAGTTTTTGTAAAAGTGGGTCGATTTTATGCCTGTCTCCTCGTTGCCCGGCACGCTAAGGGTCTGTCGGTGTGCATTATCCAGTCTACCGTAATCAGGAAATTAATCACTGTAGATGGTAGGCAGCCAGCCTTGTCTTACTTCCGTCTTCACTTCGAAGGATTCCGTGAGATTCTCGTTGTGGATTACTTGGCATTCAGCATTGTCGTACAACTGTCGAATTGGAGTGTATAATTTCTGGCGGCACCCCATAGTAGCGAAGTAGTTACCTAATCACCTCTTGATCGACGCTGTCGAAGGGCATAATCAGTAAGAAATTCCAAATCCATGTTTCGTAGTTATTGGCACTCATCAGAAAGATATATCTGTATAATCTGTTAACGAGTGAAACAACTGATGAAAGGCTTGTTCTTGTTCACATCAAGATATCCATTCTTAGATAAAATATCCTTTTTTATTTCATGTTCAGTTGTACTAATGAGCTATTCGGGCTCTTGACTGACCTCCTGTAGGACTGACTGTATTGGGTACTTTGATTGGACACTAGTCAGTAACTAGTGTGATGTGTCAAGTCCTTGGTGTTTGGTGCAGACTGAATTCTATACAATGTGGAACATCTCAGAAGGGACATGAGTTGTTCCTTCAAGGAAGTTGCAGATACACCTTACTGACTGGTGAGTGCCAACTAGCACGAAACCTAGGTCTCGGCAAGACTTCCTGTGGCCGATTGCCTCCAACCATCTAATATCATATAGATCTCTCCATTGTTCCATCAGTCTTTTTCATTAGAGAAACGTCTGGAAATTTAATAGTACTATTTTCCTCGTGTTCCGTTGTGAAGTTGAGATTCGGATGGCATGAACTGCATTCTATCAACAGGTCTTTAGCTTTTGATCTGCTTTCACAGATATAATTCCATTTGTTGTATATACTGTTTCAAAATACCAGTTTCTAGGCTTGACAAGTATAAATCCACAAAAAAGTGGTCATAAGAGGCTTCCCACTGACGGAATAGACGCCCATCGAATTGAAATTAGACATTATTAGTACATAAAAGCAACCATTTCATCGATTCCGATGTTGGAGAGGATATATCGTTAGTTTCTCTGCAATATATCAAGTTAGTAGCCTTAATAAATGGAACATTTGTGGATAAGGAAAATAACATCGAAAGTGACCAGATGCTTACCAGTTTTATATTTGAGATCATTAGGGGGTGTATATGCTTCATTAAATCCTGCTCTATTAACTTTTGTTGCTTTATTCTGTCTGATTCGAGTTTTTTTACCATTTCTCGTGGTACTATGTTCTTCAGCTTTGTCTTTTATGTGTCTTATGTGACCTTAACTGCTGATGCGCTTTATGTGAATTGTGTAGTACCCTGACACACAAAAAAAAATTGATAGCAAAAATAGAAAAAGCAAATTTTCATCCAGGTCATCATAGATTGTTTATTTAATTGTGATCGTGTGTTTTCACAAGACTGTTTGTTACACTAAGTCAAACTTTTCTTTCAAACTGGCTGCACTCCTACTTCTCTAACAGAAAGCAGTACACCGTATACAAAGGTAAATCATCCTCTACTGTACTCACTGAAGCTGGAGTCCCCCAAGGTGCTGTACTCTCCTCACTTCTCTTTTCTTTCTTTCTACATGACTTACCATCTTCAAATGACATCAATTTTGTCAAATATGCTGACGATCTGACTGTATCTTTGCCTGTCAAATGTCAAAGCGACTGCTCTAAACTTAATGGCTTTCTGTCAGAAATCAGCCAGTGGTCCAAGGAAAATGGTCTTACTCTAAACCCCTCCAAATGCCAAACAGTCAATTTCACCTTTAGGCATAAATCCGACCTAAACAAACTGGTTGGCTCTCACGAGGTGTGCAACATAGATGGCACTGAAATAGAAACCAAGTCGGAAATTAAATACCTAGGCATCATTCTATCTGCTGATCTCTCCTGGTCGTCTCATATCTTGGCGATTTCTAAGAAAATATTCCGTCTTACCTTCTACATCAAGAAGTTAAAACATTCTGGTATAACCCAACCCTTACTCCTACAATTCGTTAACTCTCGCATTCTGCCTATTATTCTCTATTGTTCCCCCTTAGTTTTTCCCGGGCTACTGAAGAAAGACTATAACATATTACGCAGGATGTTAAAGGTTGTCAGCAGGGTAAGCAACGTGCCATTTAACCAGCTTGTTAATATTCCGCTTTACAGGTACATGGACTCATGTGAAAAATGGGCCAAATCCATTTTATCTAACTCACACCACCCTCTTCACTCACAACTCTCCCCTTGTATCTCATCAGGCGAAACCAGAAGCCTATACAGAAAACTATATGCTCGCACCGACAAGTACAAAAACTCAACCATACCCTACTTAGCTCGTGTTTTGTGCGATAAAGAAAGCATTAGGTGTGACACCTATAATTCATCAAATAGTCAGTAGTACAACTGGACCTCGTCTTTCCAACTAATATCATTTATAGGTACAACATTTTCTTTCTTTCTTTTCCTTTTCTCTCTCTTTTTTTTCTGTTATGTGCTGCTTTGTTTCTTTCTTCCGCTTACGCCAGTAAATATGATAGCACTTACATTTCTAACACCTTCAAACACTGTTCAGCTTTGGCTTTGCTACGGACATCCCAATATGTTGTTGTCATAATGAACTGAGATTTCCTTAATCTATGTAGAATTCTATTTATTGATAATGTACTAACTGGATGCAATACTGTAGTAAAAATGCTGAGAATTCCATTTTGTATCACAAGTACTGTTTTGGAATAAAGCAAATTATTATTAATATTATTAAAAATGGAGAAATCAAATGAGTTGTTGTTGTTAATCTCATAGTAGAGGTAGGAAGAAAACAAAATCAATATTCCTGTGAAACTTTGTCACAATTCAGCGATATTAGTAATAGAGAACCAGACGTCTCTGATGACTACTCAACTTACCGATATTTACAAATTGGAGAGTAGTAAATTTATTGATTCACAAGGTGATAGTGTGTGGTAGTGTCATACAGACAATGTCTGCCAACGGAATATTATCCTTCTCACATATTCTCACAGTTCATTACTGCATTAACAACAGAATACTGTGTATATTTAAACATTCTATTTCATGTCGTCTGATGTGAGTCAAAATCACACGCTCATTGATCGGTTGAAGAATATAAACTGTATGTATATATAAACAGCGGTTTGATCAATGAAAAAGATGCCTTCGCTTCCGTCTTCTGCCTTCTGTTGTTACAACAGAAGTCAATCTATAGTTATCTCTGTTACACGCTGAGGAGATGGGTTTGGTGATATCACGTTCCGGGCCATCGCTCGAGTGAAACCCTATTAGGAAACGACGAGCTGAGGGATGGTTGCGAGAGTGACATAGAAAAGATCGTGCAAGGAGGAGATGAGAGTTTATGGGAAATCGTGGAGCTTATTATTTTTCTATTCCTTTAATTTCCCAGTGGAACATAGGGCACCTTCAAGCTAGAGCTCTTTTGAAGTTTCGGTTGCAGTGGTGTTTATTTTTTGTTTTACGGGATGGGGTTGCTAGCCTTATGCCCAACTTTCCGTCTTTACAAGTCGTATTACTGGCTTAGCGAGGTAAAGGAGTGCGTTTGTGACTGGAGATCGAACCCTGGACCACATGCATGGTCGGTAAGCATTCTACCGCTATGCCACCGTGGAGTAAACAGGATGAATTGGAAATTCGTTGTCTGGTACTGTAGTTCAATCGGACTACTATTTGACTACTTGCTTTAAAACGCTGTCCACCTCTCACCATGCAAGAGAAATTTTGAATATTCTAATAATCGAAAAAGAACTGGACAGATATTTCTTGATTATTTGAAAGCTTTCAGCATATCGGGGACCGAATCCGAAACCTTCGGGGTGTGAGGCACATGTGTTGATTGATTGGCCAATCGCAGAAGACTGAATTCATAGGACATTGGATTCCTTTTAATCGGCTGAATGGATTGCTTTGTAAAACAGAAAGTTTCAATCCCCATTGCAGGTGGAAGACATATTTTGCTGAAGAGTCCCAAGCGAGGACGAAGCATCTGTCTAGTACTTTGTGCTTTTTAATGGTTGTCTAACAGATGATAGCTCATGATTTAATCTGAAATCAATCAAGTCCATGCAGAGAAATATTTGAAAGTAACTGTCAGCCTGTTCATATCTTCCCCTGCGTACTTTATTGTAAAATGTGATCTCGTGATCAACCTTCAGTCTGATTAATTAGATCTGTTTACAGATACTATGAAATAATTGCCAGGATGCAGTGAATGTAAGTTAGGCAATTGTTGGCATCTGTCAATCATAAGATGTATGTAGAATCCTGATAACATTCATGTCTCGATGGTAGAGCGGTTAGGACGCTCGCCGACCATGCACATGGTCCGGGGTTCGATCCCCGGCCGACGCACGCCCGATATCAATGGTCGGCCTGCAAAATTTGGGCTACGGATATCACATGCTGAAAATTTCATACTTGTATCAAAAATACTGTGTGGAGTCAAGCTATAATAAAATATTAAAATAATTAAAGAAAATAAATCTACGCTACGACATGTTACAGTTGGATAATTTTTCCAACTAGCCAGTACTGATTTTTGGATAGTTGGAGGTAGACGGCAGGAAGTTTCCCACATTGGGTTTCTTAACTAATGATACTCCTCAATAAGGCGTATCTGCAGCCTTTCAGAGACTTCACAGCCGCATCACTCATTGTTATAATTGAAGACGCATTAGCTTCACAGTTGATTTCACGAAGGACTGTAGCGTTTATATTGATTAGTGTTGATGTTCATCAGATAATCTTGTAGCTGGTCACTTTCTTACAGTTTTATGAAGTTGATTGTAAGACTTGAGCACTGCTACGAAGCACTGCTACTGCTAAAAAGAGTACTCGGACTTCGGTCTCTCGGTTTATAAAGCATATTTTCTTACCGCAAATAATGGGACGTCATTTCATGTCTTTTGGAAAATGAACTAAGTTTATCTAAGATATTTGAAGCTAAGGGGAGTTATTTTGTCGATATTGAACTCTTTGAGCTGGTTAATTTGATTGTAGACCTTTCATTCTGCCAATTTTGTCCAAGGAATGTAACTTCGCTCTCTCTGTCTGGCATTACTCAACACAATATTCTGCACCACCTTCTTTTGAAATATCCTTCAAAATGGTGTTAAAAGTTGTCACCTGTGTGTTATCCAAATCTTCAAATAGTGAGGTTCTGTCACTGTCGTGCACAGATATTCCTCAATCAACCATCCTTGCCTTACTCACGAAATTCTTTGCACAACCACTCGAAGTAATCCCCCACTAGTGGGATGTATCAATAATAAACTTCTGGAGACTATAATATATATTAATATAATCAAGCATCACAATCCACCAAAGTATTATTCGAACTGCTAATCGAATTCGTGTTTAACCTACTTATTAGTAGCCTAATACAGATTGTGCAATTTTCTCCATTCTACCTAATATGAATGTAGTTTCAAATTATATCTCGAACTGACTTCCGTTAGAAAACGCCGGGAATTCAGGGAGCACTTAATAGTTATTTCTTTGTAGCTTCTTAATCACTTTGTGGTCTATCAAATCCCTGAACATCAACCTATTGCTGACTAGTGTGTAACTGACTAACTACACGATGAAGTTGCGCGGAGTTCTAGTCAGAAGTCACGACCAGTGTGAAGACAGATACCTGGATTCCATCTCAGCGAGTGAATGGTCAGGTGAAACTCTCCATGTAGTCTTAAATATCATAAGTTCGCTCCTTAGCTGTATGTTCATGCGTGCCTACTGTTGAAGAGTCCCAAACTAGGACAAAACAGCTCTCCAGTACTCTCTGTGATGAACAGTTTATGATCATTTTGGTGTGGTTGTGTTCTCTGAGTTAGCTGGATAGTTAATTTGCGAAGCTTTCATCACCTGCTGCTAGGTGACATCTTCAGCGCATACTTCAGTTTGTTGAAGTGAGCTGTTAGATTTCTCCACGAGTTTATTAATCATCTCTCCTGGTGGGTGACCTTGGATGTGATTGGTTGCTTTTGTGTGTTTTCACACCTTCTAGGTGGCTACTTGTATTGGAATTGATTGTTTCTTTGACTTGACTGTATGTAGTGACAAAATTTATCAAACAATAAGAAAGAACCTCACAAACAAAGGGTCAAAGTTCAAGTCACAGAAACAATCAATTCCAATAGAAGTAGCCTAGAAGGTGTTATTATTATTATTATTGTTTCCTTTAATTCCTAAAGGAACATAGGGCTTCAGCTGCACGTCTCCATTGAGTTCGGTTCTCTGCTAAAGTTTTCACATCTGGCTCCACGTCTGCTCACATGCTTTCATCTCCTCTTCTCTGCATGACCTCCTCCAAGTCACCACCCTCGCACTGACGACCAACTCGCCGCTTCCCTTTCGGGTTCCACTCGAGCAGTGGCTTGTCTAGTGATGTCATTTGATGGTTTCCTCAGAGTATGGCCAGCCAATCCATCTCCATTTCTTCCTGCCTATTTGTTTCACAATCGGTTCCTGCTGTGTTGGTTCGCTCCCACAGATCCCTGTTGCTGATCTTTTCTGGCCACCTAGAAGGTGTGAAAACACACAAAAACAACCAATCACGTCCAAGGTCACCCACCAGGAGAGATGATTAATAAACTCGTGGAGAAATCTGAAAGCTCACTTCAATTCAAACTGAAGTATGCGCTGAAAGATGTCACCTAGTAGGGTGATGAAAGCTTCGCAAATTAACTATCCAGCTAACTCAGAGTACACAACCACATCAAAATCATCCACCTGAGCTACAAATCTTCTCTATCATATCTAGTTTATGATCATATTTGACACTCTTTTAATTATGAGATAGAAAAGACATCGAAGTGTAAGCCAACGTGTAAAATTTTCTTTCAATTCAAAGATACACACAAGGCCACTACAGTGAGATTTTTGCCAGATGTACACCCTATCTAACACTCACTTTCACTTTATGCTTTGAAATGCAAAAATACACAAATATACACGCCTGCACGCACTCACAAATGCCTACATACACTTTTCTCACTGAAAAAGAAACATTTGTTTCGAAAGTTAACTTTGAAACTATGAAAAGTAGACAACACCAATATTCTCAAATTTCAGATTGATAAAGTTATTTTGCTATGTGATATATATATAATGTTTTCTAAACTCTTTTCTTTTGAATAGCATATTTTTGGATGTAGGCGTAGTTAGGTACGTGGGTTCAACTTCTTCTTAGGCTCACTCATGATAGATTTGATACCATTCGAAAGGAGTTCATTTTTGTTTATTCCTTCACGTTCCCAGTGAAACATAGGGCGCCTTCAAGCTAGAAGCTTGAGGTTTCTGCAGCAGTAGTGTTTATTTTTTTTTACGGAATGGGGTTGCTAGCCTCATGCCCAACCTTCCCACTTTACTGGCTTTATTTCTGGCTTAGTGAGGTAAAGGAGTGCGTCTGTGGCTTGAGATCGAACCCCAGACCATGTGCGCGTAGTCGGCGAGCGTCTTAACCGCTGTGCCACCGACGCACTTAAAGGAGTTCATGTCATTCTGAAAACCCTATAGTATATTAAATTTCCTCATTTTTAGGAGTTCGATTAGAGGGATTTCATAGTTGACTTCAAGGTTGATCTCAACTTGACTGATATCAGTTAATGGAGGAGTACTAAAGAGTCGCTTCGTCCTAGTTTGGGACTTTTCATCAGTACACAGTCGTGACCTTTTTAACATTGATTTCGAGGACAGTTTATGTTTAATGACGCACAAACTTCAAGACTTGTAGGCAGGCGAAAACCAACAAACTGGTAGAAGAGGCTGGCTGGCAGCGAAGACAGGACTCCAGGTGAACATAGAAAAGACGGACAGAGGTGATGAAGATAACCAACCAACAGCAACAACAGCAAAAACAACCGGCACCAATCACCGTCAACGCAAGAGATTTGACAGAAGTTACTACCTTCACTTATCTGGCCAGGAAGCACGGTTTCAAGCACAGGCAGTCGCAACGGATGAAGATGTCAAAGCCAGCCAGCCAGCCAGCCAGAATCGGAAATGTAGGATACACCTTAATCAATCCGAAGTCACTATGCAAATCTTCTGCACTAACTCAAAATATACGAAACAGATTCGAATTTTCAACATCAATGTTGAGTCAGTCAGTTCTTCTATATGGGTCGAAAACTTGGCGTGTCATGGAAAGGATTTCCAACAGGCTACTGCAGACATTTATCAACAGCTGCCCACTTCGTTGGCTGGCTCTATACTGAAGATCAAATGGCCGGCCGACCGTCCAACTGGGCGGAAAGAATTGGCAACAAGAAACTCTCCAGTAGAACAAACCAACAGTTGAGAGCCGATCGCTCAACAAATATGCAGGAGAAAATGGAGGTGGATTGAGCATATACCCCTGAGGAGGCCGTCGAATGACATGGTGCGTAATGCAGGCCATCGTTTGATTGGAATCCCAATGAGAAACGAAGAGTGGAGGAGATGAGAGATTGTGGACAATCATGGACCCATCTGAAGAGGAGATTATCAAAATAGCACACAAACTGGGGATAACAATAAACCGGTCACTTAACTTACTAACTGAATTACCGATTATACCTTATGCTTATAAATGTACTTCTATTACTATTTATGTTCTTTTCCGCCTCTCTTTCTCTCTCTCTCATTTACAGTCATGGCGTAGACAAAGAAATCACCCTGCATGATAAAGATTGTGTTCTGAAATTCCGTGAAATGATTCGATCCAATTTTGGTGTATCGAATGTCATACAAATAAGACATCGACATATACCTGGTAAAGATGGAAAACGACCACCGCTACCACCTCCTGCTTATCCACATGTACCAGTTCAGCATCAAGATGTTCCTAATTCTGGTACTGCTGCTGCTAATACAGTTGTTCCAGTTCCCCTGAATAATTCCTCAATTAACAATGGTAAAGAGGCGGTAAGACAATCACAGCTTAAAAGTCAACAGTTGGATGAAATGCCGTATTTAATTGAAGTGGTCAATGACACAGATCATTCAGTACATCCTAGAGGACTGACTATTGATTTAGCTGATCTATTTACAAGAGCGTATACTTTACCTATCAAACTTGGTACAGTGGAGAATATGGTTGGACCATATCCTAATATATTAGTCGATAAGGTATGTTGTTTTCGAGAAAATTGTTACGCAATGTCAATTTATTTTTGACTAAGAGTACTATCATCTGTCTTGTTGGCCTCTCACCAGGTGCCTACAGCTTAAAACAAAAACTAGTTAAGTCTATGTGAAAAGCAATTTTAATATAATCGTGAGGATGACATGATGTCAAGCATCTCGTTGATACGGGTCATGAGATGGACACTGTGAGATCGTCTGAAATTATCAGCAGACAACAATATAGCTCAATTTTTCTCAGGTTTTCCGAAGCAGTTACTATGAAACACTTGAAAGAAGCAGTTATCAGCCTTTCTTTACCCTGATAACTCGATGTCTGTAGTCTTGTCTTTACTTGGTTTAGACTTTTCATCTTCTCCTTTTAATTGCAGTTCAGTGACTGATTTAACAAGTTTATAAGTTCTTTTCTGACATCTGACTCTCTCTCTTTCTTCAGACAAAACCCTTGTTAAATATAGTGTGGTATGGTATGGAAGAATTTTTATATTTAGTAGCTGTACAAGCATAAATTCTTATGAAATTTCTTCTGGTTTTACCCACCCCCGCTGTCGAAGAGATACAAGGAGAAAGTTGTGAATTACAAAGAGGATATTCAATATATATCTATATATATAAACGACCTCTAGCCAAATGCCTTCAAGGATTAAAGTGCCTATCAACAACAGTCCTTCGAAGTAAAGACGGGAGTAAGACAAGGCTGCCTACTATCGCCAATGATTAATTTCCTGATTCCAGTAGATTGGATAATGCAAAAGACGACGAGCAGAGAGGAAACAGGCATAAAATGGACCCTAACGAAAAAATTGGAGGATCTGGACTTCGCCGATGATATATGTCTGATTTTCCATAAACTGGAAGATATGCAAGTGATGAAAAGCAACAAGTTGGCAGAAGAAGCATCAAAGATAGGAATTCAGGTGAACATAGAGAAAACAGAGGACAAAAACAACAACAGCAACAACAACAACGACACACAACAATCAGGCAGTATAAATGGGAGGAAACTGAAAGAAACAACCTCTTTTACCTACCTGGGAAGCATCGTTTCAACTACAGGCGGAACTGAAGAGGATATCCAAGCAAGAATCGGGAAAGCAAGACAAGCTTTCATTTCTCTCAAGTCTGTTTGGAGGTCAACACTCACCATTCAGCATGGGAAATAAGATCAGGATTTCCAACTCCAATTTGAATTCAGTGCTACTCACTGTATGGATCACAGACTTGACGCGTGATAAAGAGCACCTCAAACAAACTACAGACCTTCATCAACAGTTGTCTTCGCTCAATACTCAAGATCAGATGGCCGGCCAGAAAAGATCAGCAGCAGGGATCTGTGGGAGCGGACCAACACAGCAGGAACCGATTGTGAAACAAATAGGCAGGAAGAAATGGAGATGGATTGGCTGGCCATACTCTGAGGAAACCATCAAGTGACATCACTAGACAAGCCATTGCTCGAGTGGAACCCGAAAGGCAAGCGGCGGCGAGTTGGTCGTCAGTGCGAGGGTGGTTGACTTGGAGGAGGTCATGCAGAGGAGAGGAGATGAAAGCATGCGGGCAGACGTGGAGCCAGGTGAAAAATTTAGCAGAAAACCGAACTGAATGGAGACGTGCAGCTGATGCCCTGTTTTTTGTTTATTGCTTGATTCCACACCGTATTTTTGGTACAAGTATGAAATTTTCAGCATGTGATATCGGCAGCCCAAATTTTGCAAGTACGTTAAAGCTGACCTGTACATAAACTTAATTCATCTTATTTTTAGGCAGTAGACGAATGATCAGGAACCGATGAAATAAACGGTGTTCACGTCTTATTCTGTATAAACCGTTGTTTGCTTATTCTTCTTCTTGTCATATTCATAAAATTAAAATAACTGTGAAACTTCAATTTATTTTTTATCAAAAAATTGAAAACATTTCCTTGGATAGACGTTGTTTCAGGAGTCAACACCAGTCAGCGAAACTTTGATAACTACCTTTGCGCTTCATGTATTCTTAAGAACGCTCATAATAGGGAGTCAAATTTTACTGGCCAACATTTTTATTCGATTTTTGAAACAGTTACTCTATTTGATGAATTTTAATGAGGCATTAAGAAGACAAATATCGTGAGACGATATTTTCATTTCATAGTTTCCTTACAATGGCTTTACAATTAGCGTGGTTAGCAATAATTAAAAAAAAAATTTTGTTTTCTTTTAAGTTCCCAGAGGAACATAGGGCGCCTTCAAGCTAGAGAGGTCTGAAGTTTCGGTAGCAGTGGTGTTTATTTTTTTTACGAGATGGGGTTGCTAGCCTCATGTCCAACCTTCCCTCTTTACCAGTCTTATCACTTACTTGGCTTAACGAGGTAAAGGAATGTGTCGGCCGGGGATCGAACCCCAAACCACATATGTGGTTGGCGAGCATTCTATCGCTATGCCACCGACGCCGTTCACAATAATAATAATAAAGTTAAATCTGATGCTAGTTGATGACTGGCTTCAGGATGAGGTTGCCTGGACAGATACTCTCTGATGATATTGGCTGATGCCAGTTGCGCTAAAATCACGAATTGGTAGAAGTTAGAATTCATGGGGTGTTCATTGGATCGTGTCCAAGTGGTTGAATAGTCTATGAGTTTGGCTTGTAACCGGAAGTTATTTATTTATTTATTTAAACGCAGAAAAACTTGGTACAATATGGCACCAAGAAAGATGCGCCACACAATATTGTGTGAGGGCTGAGATACTGCCCGGGCGCCCAGACCGAAGCAGGTGGTTTTCCTAAGGGACCAACCCCGAGCCTTTGACTTGGAGTCTAATCCGCAAGGCAGCGGAGCAGCGTCAGGAGCTGCGTTCCCATGGTTGCCGGTGACCCATATGGGTTCATACGCCATTTGATCCGATTGAATTCTGGAGCCCATGTACCCCATGGTAACTGCTTTTAGTCTAACCGCTATCCAAACAACCTTCCTGACATGGTAGGACCTGCAGGGACATGAGTCCCAGCCAGTTTAGCTTGTTGGGTCACTGCGGCATTCAAGCCCGACCACCACGGCAAGGTAGCAGTTATCGGTCGGGAGGCGTCAGAATTTCTTCCTCTAATCATAGGCATAGGAACTGAAAGTGTTCTGGATGTACGCGGTGTAGAATTTGCGCTTCATAGCTGATCGAAGTCTTTGAACTGTCACCTACATGATTTGATCATCCTTGATAAAGATTGCTTCTTTCTTCTGTCTTTTCAGGGGACTGTTTCTCCTTACTGTGACATATAATGTAGTTTTCAAGATATTCATTAGGTAATAAAACTAAGTGTAGCTCATCTGTTAATGTGTCGCTCGTGCAAATTTTACCTACCCTTAAAAAACAGACATTTGACTAGGGCATTTTTATACTAGATAGGCACAAAATTGCTGAAATGGGCTGTTTATGTGTCTATAAGAGAGAAAAAAGATAAGGGTAGAGGACCTGACAATATAATAGAGAATATTTGTATCTCAGGTGGATGATTTGCAATTATCTCTGTTCTCCGAGCTGTCGTCATCCTTCTGGACAACACCTTCAGTGCAAGTTTTAGCATAAAATGAACTGATTTAAATTCTCGATGAATGATAGAGTTGTGTCACCTGGTAACCATTTTCGAGACTGGTAGTCGATTCATATCTGTATGGATCATTTTTTTATTGACTTGGATTTTGAACTTTCTCGTCACATCGATTATTTTCATGGATGAGGCGTTTTTCCTCATGAAAGTTGTAATTAATTCTTGTCGAAGCTAGTTACTAATTATTTTATCATAAAACTGCACCAGATGGAATACTATTTACCGTTTGAGAACACTGTTTATTGTATTTGCAAATTAATGGTGAGGTCTTATGAGTTATTGAATTCGCGCATATTCTTACAGTAGTGATGTGCTCGATGCATTCTGAGATATTGATTAATCCACTGGTCATTAGATCCCAACTTAGTAGCTGGAGGGTCGATCGCCTTGCATCGTAACCTGAGGATCTTGAGTTTGATCCTTAACAAGATCGTGGTTGTGTACTGCTGAGGAGTCCTGAACTAGGGTGAAACCTTTGTAAGAACTTGCATGAAGTCATGCTGCTGTCCGCCCCAAGCGTCGTCGTGGAGACATTAGGAGATTCTGTGGATGCAGAACGCCGCCAACGCGGAACAAGCTGGATTCAGGAAAGGCAAATTATGCGTGGATCAACGCTACTGATCATCGTTAAACCACACACAGAAAAGGCCTTCGACAGCGTTGACTGCGAAATGATCTTAGAACTGCTGCAACATCATAGAGTGAAGTGCCGTACCCCTGCCTACTGTTACGAATGATATTCCTGAGTGTGGTCGACTGATTAACGCATCAGACTGTGGGTAGCAAGATGACAGGAATACGCTGGACTACTGATAAGAAGACTCCAAATCTCACAAATTCGAAGACGGGCGGAAACCAACAAACTGGAAGAAGAAGACGAAGCAGAGAAGACAGAACTTCAAGTGAACATTGAGAAGACGGAAGCAATCAAGATAATCAACCAGCCACAACAAACTCCAGTCACTACAGACGGGAGAAAGTTTAGCCAGGTCACTTCTTTCACAGGTGGCACGGATCGGGATCAGAAATGCAAAACAGATCTCCATTCCTCTGAAATCAAAGATATGACAAGTCACGACAAGCATTTCGAACAGGCTACAAATTTTTATCAACAGCCGACCTTCGCTAGCTTGCTAGTGAATACCAGATGACTGGTGAGAAAGAATAAGCATTAAAGGAACCTGTAGCAATGAACCCAAAAAATATTCAGAGGGAAATGGAAATGGCTTGGACACACGCTAACGGCGCTGTTAAACTCTAATATTATGCCCCATTAGAAATCGTTCAAACTCTAGACTAACTAACTAATTCATATGAGATGAAAAAATAAACTAAATGACATTCAACTAGAGAATGATGAAACAATGGTTAGTTTTGATATAACTAGTCTTTATACTAATATAACAATCAATATGGCCTTAGAAGCAGTTAAAAAAGAACTAACTGCAGATCCTGAACTCACTCATAGGACAAAGCTGCCCATTAAAGAAATTATTTTAGGAATTCACTTATGCCTCACATCTACTATCTTTGAATTCCAAGGCAAAATATATAAACAAACAGATGGTGTAGCAATGGGATGGATCAACAATATCCACTATCGTAGCAGATGTCTTTATGGGCAACTGGGAAAATAGTGCTCTTAATACATTTAATCCTACTCCAAAAATATGGTGGAGATATGTGGATGACACTTTCACACACAGTGTTGACATATATAAACTCACTACTAGAGGGAAAAAAATTCACATTTGAATCGGAAGATGAACAAGGAAAATTACCTATGATGTTAGATTGTAAAATAAAAGGAATAGAAGAAGGTAAACTGCACACTAGTGTTAATAAAAAACCAACGCATTCTAATAGATATTTAGACTTTAATTCATCTCATCCATCGTTATCTGTTTGTAAAGGCAGGCTTAGTTAAGTGTTTAACAAACCGAGCAGTAGCACTAAGTAGTACAAGAAAAGACCTAAATGATGAAATAAAACAGACAGAAGAGGCCTTGGTGTTAAATAACTATCCTATAGGATTCATTAAGAATATCGAAAAAGACCAAAAGCAAAATAAAATAATTAGGAAACTAGTAATGATAACATAAATAAGAGAGAATATAAGGCATCTACAATAGTTTTACCACATAAGGAGGAGAGGGGACATCTTGGATCCTTCCTACGTAGGATTCTCAATAAAGCAGGAATTAGGGTGGTGGCATTCAAACCTACAAACTCATTCAGGTAGGACAAACTCTGTAGGCTAAAAGACCCGGTGGACGCAATTAAACAAAATAATATTATCACCAGTCAGTCAAATCAGAAGAGGATAATAAATAATCATAAAATTCTACTTCAATTCAAGCACATCACAACACTATAACAAGTTACTTATTATGACTATAAAAACACTCGTCTTATTTCCCATCTGATTGTAATTGATCAATAACACTCATATTATTATTTCTGAATGTACTTTATCACATATTGACTTTTATTTAAATATCTAGTCATTTCCAAACATGTATTTAAATGAAGCAAGAAAGTTGTGTGAGTAGTGCCTTGATATGATTATGAGCAGCAATAGTTTGTGCTCGAAACGTGGTCATCAGTTAATATTACTGTATAACACCACTGTGTGATATATCAAAATAAAATCTTATCCATAATGGAGTTATACTCTACCACGCAGTGCCCAAGTTTTATACTTATACCTCACACACACACACACAAGGTGGTAGGTCCCTGAGTGGAACAAGAATTGGAGATGACGAGTTGAGCATAAATCCCAGGGTGACATGGAGGCGATCGTGTGAAGAGGAGACGATCACTAGTGGGTAGTCATGTAGCCAGCGAAAGGTGACTGCAGAGAACAAGATGAAATGGGGGGGGGTTGCTGTTGAAACTCTATGTTCCACTCGGAACTCAAGGGAATAATAAACCATGGTGATATCAGTCCTCTTCGGTTTTCCCTGGTTGTGTAACTTTCATCGGTAGGTGGTGAAATGTACAACTAGGGTTTATTTTAATTTTCAATGACAAGAAAATATTCTGTCTTACCTTCTACATTAAGAAGTTAAAACATTCTGGTATTACCCAACCCTTACTCCTACAATCGTTAATTCTCGCATTCTGCCTATTATTCTCTATTGTTCCCCCTTAGTTTTTCCCGGGCTACTGAAGAAAGACTATAACATATTACGCAGGATGTTAAAGGTTGTCAGTAGGGTAAGCAACATGCCACTTAACCAGCTTGTTAATATTCTGGTCGACAGGCACATGGACTCATGTGAAAAATGGGCCAAATCCATTTTATCTAACTCACACCACCCTCTTCACTCACAACTCTCATCAGGCAAAACCAGAAGCCTATATAGAAAACTATATGCTCGCACCAGCAAGTACAAAAACTCAACCATACCCTACTTAGCTCGTGTTCTGTGCGATAAAGAAAGCATTAGGCGTGACACCTATAATTCATTAAATAGTCAGTAGTACAACTGGATCTCGTCTTTCCAACTCACATCATCAATAGGTACAACATTGTCTTTCTTTCTTTTCCTTTTCTCTCTCTACTTTTTCCGTTATGTGCTGCTTTGTTTCTTTCTCTCGCTTACGCCAGTTAATAAGACAGCTCCCACTTTTCTAACACCTTCAAACACTGTTTCAGCTTTACCTTTGCTACTGACATGCCAATGTATTGTTGTAATAATGAACTGTTGGTTTCCTCAATCTATGTAGAATTCTATTTATTGATAATGTACTAACTGGATGCAATACTGTAGTAAACAAAATGCTGAGAATTCCATTCTGTATCACATGTACTGTTTTGGAATAAAGCAAATTATTATTATTATTAAGAATCTTATAGTGTATTTTATATTAATAATTATTTACTTTCATTTATACTTTTATTATATCAGAATCAACATCCTGACATTCGACCAGTCCATTGTACATTTTGTGTTGTTATAACTACAAACAGTCCACCAGTAACCACAACATCCGCTTCTTCTTCTACAACACTGAACAATCCACCAAAATGGAAATTACCTAAAGCTGGATCAACATTTGATCTAGAAAATTATACAAAATTCTCTTTACTTCTAACACCATCATTAGATGGTTTTGCTAAGCCAGCTGGACCAGCGCTGATTCGTGTCAATGGTACACGTGTAACAGGTCCAATTCTTATCCCAGCGGATGCAATTATACAACTAGGTAAATCATTATATCTGAAATATATTCAACCAATACAAATTAAATCGAATCAGCCAGCGAATAATCAGAATAATAATAATAATAATAATATGCAAATGAATACATCTCACTCACTCACAGCATTTTCATCAAATCAACACATGAATACATTGACCAATAGGAATAAAGAAAAACAGGCAACCTCGACAAATGATAAAAATGAGGCACAACGAGTGAAACAGGAATTAAATTCAACTGGTGTACCGTCGAAATCACATCATCAATCCAAAGTGAGTTATACTTGTATATATGTATGTAAATTTTTGATGTGTCTGCGTTGTTTCATCTGATTGGTGGTTTAATTCTCAGGCTTCTATCGTTTTCCCCTTGTAGCGAGTGTCTTTTCAGCGCATAGTCTTCAATATGTGAAGTAAACTTAATTATTAAGACACAAACATGTTGCATTACAGGCACCAAAAGATGCGCCACACAAAATATCGTAGTCGTTAAGAGGGCTGGGATACTTACTGTTGGGAGGCTCAGACAGAAGCATTTGGTTGTCTTAAGTGGAACCCTTCGGAACGTTTAGCTATTTAATGCTAATAGCTTTATCAAAGCAGTATTATTAAACCGGAATTTACAAAATCTCAGCATATATATATATATAAAGATATAACAAAGAGTTAAGGGGTGAGAAAATAGACTACTTAGGTCAAGTTAAAAGGACATATTGAAAGTCAAAATAACAATGAAGATCACTAAACCAAATAACAAAGGTAATAGTACGTCTGCAAGTGAAAAGTAACAAGTTGGCAGAAGAAGCATCAAAGATAGGACTCCAGGTGAACATAGAGAAAACGGAGGTGATGAAGATCCCTGGCCAACACCAACAACAACAGACAGCAATCAGCATAAATTGAAAGAACCTGAAAGAAACAACCTCCTTTATCTACCTGGGAAGCATCGTTTCAACTACAGGCGGAACTGACGAGGATATCAAAGCAAGGATCGGGAAAGCAAGGCAAGCTTTCATTACTCTCAAGTCTGTGTGGAGATCAACATCATTCAGCGTCAAAAATAAAATCGGGATTTTCAACTCCAATGTGAAGTCAGTACTACTATACGGATCAGAGACTTGGCGTGTCACAAAAAGCACCTCAAACAAGCTACAGACCTTCATTAACAGTTGTCTTCGCTCAATACTCAAGATCAACTGGCCAGAAAAGATCAGCAGCAGGGATCTCTGGGAGCAAACCAACCAGGAACCGATTGTGAAACAAATAGGCAGGAAGAAATGGAGATGGATTGGCCACACTCTGAGGAGACCATCAAGTGACATCACTAGACAAGCCCTCGAGTGGAACCCGAAAGGGAAGCGACGAGTTGGTCGTCCAAGGGTGACCTGGAGGAGATCATGTGAAGAAGAATTGAAAGCGTATGGGCAGACTTGGAGCCAGGTGAAAACTCTAGCAGAGAACCGAACGCAATGGAGACGCATGGCTGAAGCCCTATGTTCCTCTAGGAACTAAAGCAAATAATAATAATAAGTACGTCTGTTATGGTATCAAAACAAAGTTTACTAACTTGATCATCGTTCGTCAGTATGGGGTCATTTTTCGTTGTCAAGTTGGTCGATTGGTAAAGATAACAAAACCAGCTGTGTAGATTGTTGGATTTGATCAGTGTGTGTTTACAAAGTGAACTTGCTTATCTCATTCGTGTTGATTTTGTCACTTGATGGGGGAGGGGAAGGAGGTGTTGTAACCAGAACAGAATCTGTTTTAGTCCATCATTCCTATCCAGTTCAGACAATTTGGATTCCACTTGATATGAAGTGCTTCTGATGATGTGAGACGTTTTCTGTGATTTCTGAAGTTTTTCTGGATGATGATTTCAATATTGTCAAAATAAATTTTGTGGCCTGAGTTATATTAATTAAATGGTTACTTGGATATACAGTTAAAGTCCACTGGCTACAAATTATTGAATATAATCCACAGAAGCGTTCAGTGCTAGAGTCGTTCGTGTCTACTGGTAGAAGCTGTGTACCTGTTGTAGAATTGTCTTCGGAGAGCGGGAAAGAGGTTCCTGCAATAAATCCAAAGTATACAACACGGTTATAAGCGAAGCAGAAGATTGTACTCGGAAGTTTTTTATATTCCAACATGAATCGTTTTAAACAAAAGTCATGTATAATGTCTCTAATTTCAACATCTAACAAAACGGTGTACAATCATATTGTTACTTACTCCGCAGACTTGATGTCTAATCCACAAGACAGCACAGCAGCATCAAGAGCTACTTTCCGATGTCTGCTTGTGTCAAAAACAGGTTCATATACTATGCGATCTTTCGGGTTCTGGAGGCCATGTACACCACATTGGTTTGGAATCAGGTTTCTGTAGCTCCCGTAGGTGGGAACCAGCATGCTGACAAGTACGGTTGTAAACGCCAGACGTTCATTTTCTCTCTTTCACTTTTGTAAGGAACATCCTTGTGGCAGAGACTGTGGAGGTGTGTGGCCACGTGAGAGTATTTCGGGCGGAAGACCGAAGTTTACTCATCCTTAACCGTAGTAGATCGTTTTTACGGACTTATTCACCATGAATTCAACTCGTTTTAGCTGACAAATTCCTATCTGTAATAGTGTGTCTGTTAGTCGCTGACATTCTTTCACTGAGTACCGGGCTTCTATGAATTCTCTATATTTCCACACTCAATTTGGTACCCATAGTTGTCAGCATACATTGATATTAAAAGAATACATGTCGTGTCTTCTGACAGCTAGTTCACGTTCTTGAACTCTATCTCCATTAATAAGTGGCAGAATATTATGAGTAATATCGGGGTTAGACATAGAATATTAGGTAAGGAGGGTAAATCAATCGATGAGGGTCTGAAGACGAATCGATTGAGGTGGCTAGAACATGGGTTGCATATCCCGAGTCATCACCTTCTTCGAAGGAAAATGTTAGCTGTCATAGGATTAGATGTGCAAAGAGTTAGGAGTGTGGTCGAACCAAAATTTGGCATTAATTCATGAAGTCTTCGACAGCTGGTTTGAGCTAGCTAGCTGTCCACCTGGGGTTCTCGGAACGTTAGGAACCAGTTGGTAGTGACTATTGGTGATATAATTCAGAATCATCTACTTTTGTGTGCTACATGCAGTGCGACAATTTGAGCTGCTGTATTACTGTCATTATTATTGTTCCCTTTAATTCCTAGAGGAACATAGGCCTTCATACGCACGTCTCCATTTCTTTTAGTTCTCTGCCAACGTTTTCACCACCTGGCTCCATGTCTGCCCACATGCTTTCATCTCCTCTTCTCTGCATGACCTCCTCCTCCATGTCACCCTCGCACTGACGACTAACTCGCCACTTCCCATTTGGTCGGGTTCCACTCGAGCGATGGCCTGGCGTGTGATGTCACTCACTTGATGGTTTATTTTCTCAGAGTATGGCCAATCAACCTCCATTTTTTCCTGCTTATTTGTTTCACAATTGGTTCCTGCTTGGTTGGCTTGGTTCGTTCATTGCCAGAGATCCATGTTGGTGATGTTCTCTGACCGACCATCTGATCTTCAGGGAAGTATTGAGCGAAGACAGCTGTTGATGAAGGTGTGTTGTTTGTTCAAAGTGGCCTTCATGACACGACGCGGCGCAGTGCCAAGTCTGTGATCCGTATAGTGATTAGTAGCACTGACTAGATTTCACATTCAAGTTGAAAATCCTGATGTTATTTTTCATGCTGAGGTCTGAGCGTTGATCTCCACACAGACTTGCGAGTAATGAAAGCTTGTCTTGCTTTTCCAGTCGTCGCTGCCTTGATATCCTTATGAGTTCCATCCGCGTGTAGTTGAAACTATGCTTCCCATGTAGATATGTCTACAGGTAAAGGAGGTTGCTTCTTTCAGATTTCTCCTATTTATGCTGACTGATTTTTGTCTGTTGTTGTTGCTGTTGACTAGGAATCATCACCTCTGTTTTCTCTATGCTCTACCTGAATTCCTATCTTCTCTGGATACTTCTTCTGCCATCTTGTTAGCTTTTGCTGACTTGGGTATCTTCCAGTTTGTGAGAAATTAGGCTGCATATATCACATCGGGGAAATGCAGATCCTCCAAGTTTTTTGTTTGGGTCCATTTTATGCCTGTCTCCTTGTCGCCCAGCCCGCTGTCTGTCTGTCTATCGCATTATCCAGTCTACCACAATCAGGAAATTATTCATTGTAGATAGTAGGTAGCCAGCCAGCCAGCCTTGTCTTACTCCCATCTTCACTTTGAAGGATTCCGTGAGTTTCCCGTTGTGGATTACTTGGCATGCAGCTGGGAATGGAGTGTTTTTGTGTAACTACAGAATAGTCAGTCTTGTGGAATTACATTCTATTCAACCTCTACTTCTCAGCATAAATGGAAGGAACCTGAAACAAACAACCTCTTTTACCTACCCACCTACCTACCTGGGAAGCATCGTTTCTACTACAGGCGTTGTGACAAGGATATCAAAGCAGCGAGGATCGGGAAAGCAAGACAAGCTTTCATGTCTCTCAAGTCTGTGTGAAGGTCAACACTCAACACTCTGCATGGAAAATAAGATCAGGATTTCCAACTCCAATTTGAATTCAGTGCTACTCACTATACGGATCAGAGACTTGACGCGTCATAAAGAGCACATCAAACAAACTACAGACCTTCATCAACAGTTGTCTTCGCTCAATACTCAAGATCAGATGACCAGAAAAGATCAACAGCAGGGATATGGAGGAGCAAACCAACCAGGAATCGATTGTGGAACAAATAGGCAGGAAGAAATGGAGATGGATTGGCTGACCATACTCTGAGGAAACCATCAAGTGACATCACTAGACAAGCCATTGCTCGAGTGGAACCCGAGAGGGAAGCGGCGAGTTGGTCGTCAGTGCAAGGGTGGGGTGACTTGGAGGAGGTCATGTGAAGAGGAGATTAAAGCATGTGGGCAGACGTGGAGCCAGGTGAAGACTCTAGCAGAGAACCAAACGCAATGGAGACGCACGGCTGAAGCCCTATGTTCCTCTAGGAATTAAAAGAAACAATAATAATAATATCTACTTCACAAAATGAAGAGGCATAAACGTTGTTCAAGCAAAACTTATCAACTACTTTTAACAATGATTGACTATATACTCTTGTCTGATGAAAAGACAAACAACTCAGTTTTTTCCTGACTGGCTAATCACTTCGCTTTATATTTCACAACTCAATGACAGAGCATATTCTCAATGGTTAAGACTCTGAAAGGGTGTTTTCTGA